TGTCTTTCCTTGTGGTGATGTAACACAGAGGGCCAAAGCTTTTGCTCATGTGGAACGCTGCATCTCCTGGAGTGTCTTTTTAGTATGATAACATAATGATGTAAATGTTTTCCACTTTATTTGTTGGTCTTGAACGTAATTTCCCAGTGTTGGTCTGGAAACCATGGGCCTCGGTACCTTGGGCCAGATGCTTCTATCAGTTATACTGGTGTAACTCTGGAGGAATACAAATAATTTCAGTAGAGTAAATCTGGATTCCTGGCCTAGCTCTGAATCAGACTGACATACTGAGTGTAACATGTACCAGACCCTTGTACATAAGATCTGGAATCTGCTCTCAATTCTGCTTCTCCACAACTGGGCAATTTTGGGCAAATCCCTTAAACACCTTGAATCTCAGGAACCCTATTTTGAAAATGAATTATATGAAATGAACACTGCTTTGTAAACTGCTTTGAGAGCTGTTGATTATAAATGCTTAATGCTACTGTGATAATTTCCCACTTTCAGTTCTGAATCAGTTGCATCACTTTTCTCCACAGTTTCTTTTCCACTTCACCTAGATTAATCGCAGTTTCGGTCTTTGGTCTAAGCACCTGGCAGCTTCGTGAACAAGAGAATCCCGTGCTGCTTTTCAATCTAGCCTCACAGAGCACGAATGTCTAGGTCACGGGGCCCAGCAATGCTGAATGGAAAGTGTGTCTGGTACTGTCCAGCACCCTCCTGGACAACACCAGTTCACATAAAGTCTGTCATTTTATTAATAGGAAATGATATACACAAACCATATTCTCAAATAGTTTCCTAAATATTTCAATTTCAAGACACTCGGGCTTCGATAAAGCAATAAAACACATTTATTTGCTACAGAAACTACACATGATCTAAGACAGGGGTCTCCAAACTACGGCCCGCGGGCCGGATGCGGCCCGCGAGGCCCTCTCATCCGGCCCGTGGAGACCGTCCCTGGGGTGCCGCCGAACGGGCCCTTCTTGCCGTGGGGGGGGCCCTGTCAGGGGTGTGCGGCGTGTACTCACGCCGCGCCGGGG